CCTGAACCCGGCATTCCTTGTAGCTTGTCACAAAGCCAGAGGCCCAAGCCCATGGGCCAAGGTCCTTAACCAGGCCCGGGCCCTCCGGCCCGTAGGCCCGCACGGGGCCCGTAGGAGCCCGTAGGGCCCGTAGAGCCCGTACGGCCCGTAGGGCCCGTACGGGCCCGTACGGGCCCGTAGGACCCGTACGCAAGCCCGTAAAGGCCCGTACAGGCCCGTAAAGGCCCGTATGGCCCGCAACGCCCACAGGGCCCGTAGAGACATATGTATGTGTGTGTGATCCATATATGCATTGTTGTCATTAAGACGAAGGCTCGAGAAAGGAGCTAACGCAGTACCTTTTAGGGTTTAGGGTTTAGGGTAACCCTACATGTTATGTATAGGTGCTCTAAGTCTAGGACATGTTTCAGGTGGGTAGTTACCGTTATAGGAGCCTTATAGAAGGTCTCTGGGGTTTAGGGTTTAGGGTTTTAGGGATGTAAATGTTGTACAGTCAGGCTAATGCCATGGAGTTTTACCAACACTGTCTCTTCCGCCTGTCGAGCGTCAGAGCTGTGACGGAAGTAAGCTGAGCAATGCAGCAGACTTCCATTGTATAAACTCATCGACAAAGCTAGAGCGCTGAAGTTGAAGACCCAGTGGGCATCAGCTTGCTTGGACCATCATGCAGTTGGTGCGGTACCCTGGTGGCTGCAGCGCATGCGGCAAAGGTTTGACGAGGAAGGGGGTTGTCAATGCTAGAGTCCTGGACGTCACCGGTTGGCGCTCAGTTCAGCATGAAACCCGAAGATGTCGGAACTTCGAGTGCCCGCTGAACTATGCGACTGTCGCATACAACTTTGTTTGCACTGATAAGCAATATGTCTTCTCGTGGGAGCAGGAGGAGAACATGGAATTTTTTTTCCTGACCGCTTCTTTCGGCGTGACGATAGGCTGGCTGCGGCAATTCAGCCGCCGTTTGATGTACCACTGGGCTTCGTTTGCCGGAGAGGCCCAAATTCACCTGTTGGAAGCGATTGGCTTGGGCAAGAAGGACATCGTGCCAGCGAAGGCGAAGGCGAAACTGCTTCGGGCGTGGATGCTGTGGCGCTTGGTGACGTGGCAATCGTTTTAGTGTGGCATTTCGGCAGACCTGACGTTTAGAATTTAGAAAATCTTCAGGCTTGGAGAGCGTAATCCTCCTCATTGGCTCGCCTTACTCAGAGCGCACACATACGTAGCTCACATGCAATATGTTTACGCAGCACTCTCGTTGCATCCGAGCCTTGAAAGCGTCCTTTTGAGCTTCTTCCGGGGCAAAAACAAGGGGGGCTTTCTGAGGGAGAAAGAAGAGCCCGGTCTTCTAGCTATAGCTTCAAGAAACCGGCAGCCTGGTGCTCGTTTCTGCAGCCACGAACTTGTTAGCAATGTCGATGATCAGGGTCGTGAGGGTGATGATGATGATGATGGTGATGATGACGATGATGATGACGATGATGATGATGATGATGATATTGTTTCTTTGGGCCTGTCTTCTACAGGGAGGGTTGATGGTGAGACAACCCGGAGGCAGGCCCAAAGGAATCGGATCACCATAGCTGGGTGTTGTTTAAAGACGATGATGATGATGATGATAATGATGTTGATGATGATGGTGATAGTGATGTTAACACCCCGAAAGATTTGACATGTTTTTCACACTAAGACCCGAACATCTAGAACAAAAAACATGCAGCAGCCGTTGCGCGGTATTTTATAGGACTCGATGTTGAAGCCTTGGCACGACGCTGTAATCCAAGACCCCTTGGACTGTAAACCCCAGGCCGCCTTGTGGAAATCAAAATCTGAGTCTAGACCCGCAGGCCTGGGCGCACAGACAGCCGAGGAAGGCAAGAGTTAGCTGTAGCTTTGTGAATGTTGAAGCCCAGCGTGCAAGGTTATCCGATGGAGGGAGCACGCTGCAGCAAGCGACGGCCGAGTCGAAGCACGTGTAGACCTGTCGAAGTTGTTGCCCACCCTCTTGGCCGAAGCGTGGTCGTGGTACCCTGGGCACATGCTCAAGCGCAGAGTGGACCATGCCCGCGGGAAGCAACTGGACATGTCCACCGTCGTCATGGACGGAAATGCAAAGCTGTCAGGGCGAGTGTGTGGGCGCCCAGCTGCAGAAATCATAGAAAACAAAGCCTTGAACATGTTCACGGTGACGTGCTGCAGTGCCGAGCCACAATTCAAGAAGCGGCGATGTGCGAAGCACGATACCAGTCACGCACCAGCCGATCGCTTTCCCGCGCAGAGCGAAGTCATCACAGCCCACCGTCGTGTTCGAACAGCAGGACAAGGTGAGCCGTACGATGTCTTCCTGAAGCCAAAGGATGCCCCAGAGCTCGGAGGCCGCTGGACCAATGCGTCCTTGGTGACTGTCACGCAGCTCCACGAGTACTGGCGAGGTTTGGAAGCTTCTGGCTTCGTGCCAGAGAAGTCGGCAGCAGAGGATCTGGCGGCAAGCAGCTGCCGCACCCACAAAGAGATGCAGCATGCCAACAAGGCACAGAAAGCTCAAGTGAAATTTGGCAGCATGTGGGGTGGCAGTATAGGGGATTAAGGGTTGCGTGGTGTTAGCGTGGGAAGTATACTCAGTACAGTGTTTACCGTCAGCTACTGAGGAAGGCTGGTCGCCGCTGCGGTTTCTTGTTCGCGACGACACCATGCGGGCATATTCTGCATGTAAAGCCTTACGTCGGCGCAGAATCGCTGTCACAGAGATACTTTTTCATTGGCGAGTTGGTGCAAGCTGTAGATGACATCCGCATTCTTATTCATGACGATAGCTGTCACCTGCGGCGATATGCCGAGAAGCATGGGGACCGGACCGCGCTTGCGTCGCGTCTGAGACATCCAAACATTCGGTACATTATAGACCGGATGCATGCCAAGGCCCACACGGACGCTTGGTGTCTCCGGGAATGCCACCCAGATGCCGAGCACAACAAACCAATCGTGGAGAATGTAAACACGTCTGCAGCAGAGCGCTTGAACAGCTTGATGTCGAGACATCGACATGTGGTTCGCTGCATCCGGTCCGGTCTCATGCGAGACTTCTTCGTTCAGGAGATAGCCGATTCGCGCAACAGGGTCGCTGGCGCGGGAGAGCCAGCTGCAGATGAGGCGGATGGGACTGGAGCGGCGGCGGAACGGCCAGCACCGCCAAGGACTGAGAGATCTTAAGAAGCATCAGTAGAAGATTCATCCACATATTGCCGTTAGGCGGTGTCGGATTTCAGATTTGAGATCGAAAGACAACTGAACTGCTGACTGCTGCGGTGACTTAGGATGCCCTGTCTACGACAACACACACCGACTGGAGCCAAGATAATGATGCGAAGTATTGCCCAAGATGCCCTCCCTGTCTACGACACTTCCCACCTGCTAAGACCAAGATAAAGATACGAAGTATTGCTTAGGAAGCCCTGTCTACGACACTACACACCCGCTAAAACCAAGATAGACACACGAAGTATTGTCTAGGATGCCCTGTCTACCACAACACACACCCGCTACAAAACAACATAAAGATACGAAGTATTGGTTGGGATGCCCTTTCTACGAACACATACAAGCGTCCAAACTAAGATAATGATACATGTGCGCATATACATATATGTATACACAGACACACACACATACATATATATATATATATGTATGTAGATATATACATACACAGCAACTGATTTAGTTGCAGGCCCTTAAGAACCAGAATGCTATGGTGTAGCCTCACATTCGTAGCTGTGGCCCCCATCGGCCGGAGAGAGAGGGGTGGGAGAATAACGTGCTCTTGATGCTTGGTCTGGCGTGCAAGGAGGTATATGACTCTGAAGGAGAGCCTGTAAATTTCAGACTGGCGAGGTGCAATACCACCAGTTGCCAAAGTCGTTGCGTTTTGTTTCTGGCAGCGGCAGACACTCGGGGGAAGCTTCTTTGTGAGGGGTTGTTAGATTGTAAAGTCAGCTATTACAGAGACTGCCTGTAGTGCCCACCCGCAGAGACTACCGTGAGACTTCCTGGAGTGCCCAACCCCACCCACAACCTTCATCTCAGTCAGTGGTGCGACCCCATGGATCGTCGACTGAAATGAATCGAACACTCGAGCGCGTATGCCTCCCCATGCTTCTGTACATAGGCGCGTTTGTGTTGGCTCAAACCCTCCCTCCCAACCCGCCCCCCGCCCCCCGGTTTCTAGGGTTGCGGTTTGCGTGTGGGGGTGGTTTCGTTTCAGGGTTTTTTCAGGGTGGTTTAGGACATATGTGCCGAGGTCCCCAAATTTTAGGGGAAACCCGGCTTAGGGTTTAGGGTGCCTGGCACTCCTAGACAGGAGACGGCGGGCACGTAGGGTTTAGGGCCCAGCGTTTAGTTCTAGCTAGTATTTTTTTTAAGTCTCTGAACCAGGGGAAGCTGGGCTTAGGGTTTAGGTTAGTGCTAGGTTAGGTTGTTTCCCTCCCCACCGGGGGCCCCCACCCCCACCTGGCCCCGGAGGTGTGCACTTGCAGAATGTTGCAAAAACGAACAGCAGCACGCAGGTTTTCGGATGAGATGTTCACTCCTGGGGGAATGTTGCGGGAACGGAAAATGCAACGACTTTGCAGCGACCCCACTCGTTGCATGTGCGTGCAGATGGGGGAAGCATCAAAAACACGACGTGCGAGGCTTTAGGCGCGTAGAAGTACCACGAATTGTCGCTAGGCCCCCGGCTTAGTCTATTCGTGTGCTTGAATATCACGCAATATCAGTTTTCTTGATGCCTTTGTTATTATGTACGTATTGGCTGTGCCGTTCTGATGCTCTGGACGCGCTTTGAATTTGTTTGATCCCTCGCTCCTCGACTAGGACTCGAAGACGGAGGAGGGCCAGTGCGGGTGGAGGCAACAGGATTCAAGATTTGTTTTTGCCATCCAAAGAATAGTAAGGACATGCAGAAGTGCTTCTGTTGCTGTGCGTTTACAATCCTAATGCCAGCAGATTCTGCATCGAGGCACGGCGGCAGTGCCAGCAGCTCCATCGTTGAAGCGGCGGAGGACTGCAGCGGCTTGCAGCAGTGGAGCTGGAGGCAGAGATGTTGTTCCGTGTCATGTTCCGGCACAGTGCGGCAGATGTTCAGCCAAGACGGTTTTGAAAGAGCCATAAGGGGCTAATGTAGGAACTCAAGTTGTCATTGACGTGGAGCTGCGACCTGTCCATTCGGGTGCCTGAAGTCGAGTGGGCTAGCCCAGAAGGCATAAGCTCAGAAGCCATAGGCTGGGGCAGCAGAAGACGCTCAGCAGCCATTTTGGCTTTGTGAGAGAGGGAACGTTATTCCAAGCGAAGGCTTGGATGCGCTTGGCTTACCGGAGGCATGGCATCGGAGGCAATGCGTCAAGCCTGGGACTATGTGGATGCGCACTTTGAGGAGAAGGAGCTGTTCGGAGAGCAGGGTGGGGACATGATCGCACGGCTGAGCGCTCAGGTCTGTGCCCACCCTTTTCCTTATGGCATGGCGCTCCAGACGGCCTTGTTGGGCTGCGCCAACGGGGCCCTGGTGCGTTGCTTCCCCGGAGACCCGTTACCTGCTTCACTTGTGTGCCTCGTGGTAAACCCACCTCAAACCAGGAAAAGTGGTATGACGAATGTGATGAACAAGGTAGGCAAAGCCGTTGACAGTGTTCTTGCCGAGCGGGCTGCAGGGACGGGCTCTCAGCCGAAAAGTGTCGTTTTGACTACTTTCACAGAAGCAGCCTTTTTCCAGAGATGTAGTGCAGACAGGGACCGTCTGTACTATAGCGTGTTGCTATCCTTGGACGAAAGCTACCGCTTCTTGAAGATGTTGGGACTGATGACAGGGTCGTCAAGTGGCAAGGAACATGCAGGAACGCCCACCGATGGTGCTTCGCAGTGGAACGCTTTGCTGCAGACAGGTCACAGTAGCATGTCATGCAAGACTGGGGTGAGCTACGAGTCTCGCAACGCCACATGCAATGTGGTTGGTGTAGGCAACCTGCACGCCGCTCCCTTCATCAGCTTGGCGAAACTGGGAGGAGCATTATTCGTGCATGTATGTGTGTATATATATATATATCTCTGTGTGCATACATGTAGTCTTTTTATATAGCACATATACGTACATTTATACCTATATCTACATCTATGTCTGTATCTATATCTGTATCTGTATGTATATGCACATGCAGCGATAACTGCGTCTACTTTTTGCCTTGCTACTGCCACTAACGCTCTTTGTTTAACGTTCTTGGTTTCAGGAGGGGGGAGGGGGGTAGGATAATAACGCTTTTTGTTTAACGGGATTCATGCTTCCTTGGCATGGATGAATACTATCGTATCATACCATATCAGCATGGCATGTGATTTGTACCCATCTCCACATTATTCCTCATGCACAGCACTAGTTAAATCCTTGTGAATGCATAGGCAAATTCCTATTGGTTGACAACGACTCTCCCATAATCCTGCCCAAAGCCGCATCGGATCAACTTCGTCAGATGTGCCTATCGCAGTTAGCTGCATCGGATGACCTTGCTCAGATGAGAAATACTCATCCGAGCTGAATGGATTGGTCAACCTTTCTATTGGTTGACAACAACTCTTCCATAATCCTGCCCAAAACCGCATCGGATCAACTTCGTCAGATGTGCCTATCGCAGTTAACCGCATAGGATGAACTTGCTCAGCTGAGAATTACTCATCCCAGAGGAATAGACAGTAAACGTATTTGCAATCTTATACCATGTCATGTGAGGACATATCACACATGCTGTATCATGCGTTGCTTTCCTATGGCATGTCCTTTTCTGTTTTCTTACACTCATTCCCTGTCAAATTCTTCTCTTTTACATCATGTCATGTCACACAACGACTTTTTCAGTACATCCTCAGTCCCATGTTGAACCCTGCTTCGCGTGACAGGTGTGGTACTTTGTGTATGTTTCCTACTGATACTTGCACTTTACTAATTACATACCGCATCCAAGCCTCCAAAGGCCGAAACAGCCACCAGCGTTGCCAAAACTCGAGTTTTAAGCACTTCCCAACTGTAAAAACGAAAAAAACATAGGGTTAACAAATACAACCCGAAGCTTGTTTCATGTGGCAGGCGCGGTAGATTCCAACTTAATGCGTCTTTCCAAAGGTGCAATAATCCCCCCATGGGGATGTATATGTATATGTATATGTATTTGTGTGTACATAAATAAATACATATATCAATGCATGGGTTTGGTGTAGATATAGATGTAGCTGTGTATATAGGCATACATACATATTTATATACTCTTCTGTTGCGACGCCAAGCTTCGAAGTCTTCCTGACCTTGTCTCATGCCAGGAGTGGGCAGGTGGTTCGCGAATACGCCGCTCGGCGAACAGTTGCAAGAGCTACAATAGTTATGGAACACTGCAAGCCGGCGAGTCAGTCAGGTAATCTGAGTATCTGACCATAAGCCCACCCAGACAAGCGGCTCTTGCCACAGTCCTGCCTTGGGTTCTCGTCAAGTCCAGCCTTGCTTGGTTAGGACCTCCCTGGCCACCGCCCGAACTGCATCAATGTGGACTGGAAGACCATGACGGCCTGCACCGGTGCCGACGATGGGAAGGTGCGCGCCAAGCAGTTTTGTTGCTCGTGCTCTCAAGATGAAGGGCTCCATCCATCCCTGACAATATTCTAATGAAAGCCGTCAAAATGGCCGAGACGATTGTAGTAGGCGGAAGGAAGTACTGATGTCCGGCAATTCTTGCTCAACATTGCTTCTTGAAAACCCTCGCTCCACGCTGGTGTAGCCTCTTCGATCTACAGATCAAAAGTCCAACTTCGCGTAGGTGATGTTTTGGGATTTGGAAACTGGTGACGTGTCGCAGACGATCGATTGTGGCTCGGTCATGCACGGGTTGGAGCATGTTTGAGCTGTCCACCATTGTCGGCCGAACATGGCATCAACAGAGCCCTTGAGGTGACAGGATAAATCCAGCATATGGCATGCAGCAGCAATTGCAGTTCGAGCGATGTTGCAGAGTGTTAACACATGCTGCGTCGTTCCTGCGGAGATCCGCTAGAAATCTGCCCGGGGAGTACGCTTCCAATTCACGAGTTACAATGCTACATATTGCGGCACAAGGGTACATCATGTTATGTTGTGGTAGACGAGTTTTCCGCCCTGACCAGGTTCCTGGACACCCTAAAGATGATTCCACAACAACAGTCCAAGCCAGAAGACATAGCAAGGGAGATGCTGAACTCAAGCGAACTCATATGCCCGCAAAGGAAAGCCTAGGCCTGAAACCCTAAAGCCGAGGCGAGCACTTCCTCACGCAATCCCTGGACATTTGCTGGTCCCGCGGCTTGCTCCTGACTGGATCGTTCGCCGCTCGGCTCCGAAACGGCACGAGATGGATGAGACTCCACGTGGTATTTTCGTTAACCGAAGGTCTACATTACCAAGAACACCACGGCGCATATGTATGTATATGTTTATGCATGTATGCATGTGCCCAGGTAGGTCGGTCGGTCGGTCGATAGATCCGTGGAAATAGAGTACGGTCTGTGAAGAGACTTTTGCGTGACGTGCTGTCGATTTTCTCGGTCGGTGCCCCAAGCATTCGGAACTTGGGCTGAATTCTGCAAGGGTCCTGCAGCAAGCGAGCTCGTGGGCTTCGGAGGGGCACTGCACTCATTGCCAGACCCAACTTGGACGGACAACAATTTTAGCGTTGTTTTGTTTTTAGCGTTTCAAGTGCTGTGGCCGCAACTGCACCAACCCTCCCATCCATGAGCAAAGCCTCCGAGGGTTCCGACCGACGGCTTTAGCCTTGGAAAGCACAGAGCAGGTTGAAGGTCCCATCGAAACTGGGGTAATATAGAGGCCTGAATGATTAGAATAGGGTTTGGGGGGGGGTATATTATACTATATTTATGATCAGGAATAATAAGAATAGGGTTTTGGGGATATAGTATACTATATTTATGATCAGGAAGCCCCAAAACCCTATGAAAATCATTAAGGTCCCTACATTATCCAACCACCTTGCTCTGAGGCTTACACCCTGATCGTCACTGCTGATGTACACACGGGTTCGGAAGAGACAATAATTAGTTAGTCACTACCTATTCGGCCAACTTCGGCCGTGAGCTTTCCAGGATATCACCAGCTGCGAAGCCGTCGCTTTAAGCCCGCGCTCTCAAATGTACTAGTTGTTGTCTTTGTACATCCTCAACAGTTCAGGACCCTCAGCCACAATCCCTGCAGAACCTGCGCAGGCGGCACAGATCACCAACCGAAGCCGAATCTGGGGAATTGGGACCGTAAGCAATATTTCCCGAAATGACCCACCGGCCTCCCAGAAGACTATCAAGCAATGGCTTTCCAACAGCAAAATAATCACTAAGTTCTGAAGCCCGCAGACTCAAAAAGCTTAGGTCTCATAATCCCAAGCCAAACCAGGACTACCAGTTCAAGCTGTGGGATGTGAAGTCTGGCACGCTGCTGAAGCGATTCATCGAGCCCACGCGTTGCCTTACACGCGTCTTCTTGCAGTGAAGCCGATAAGGACGCCTCGGGAAGCAGATGCGCACTGTGGGACCATTTTCGAACCTGTAGGTACCGCATTTGGCATGGGGCCGACATAATAAGTAGTTCAATTATAAGTACCCTTTACGGCTCACATGAAGGTCCCTGTTTTCTGAAACTCACGTGTTGCTCGGTTCTGCAACAGGTCATATTCAGAGGGGCTGCCCGCCATTGGCAAAGTTGGGCCTGCAGGATGCAAAGGCATGTAGGATTCAAAGGCATGTAATCCTCAGGAGCTCCCATTCAAGCGGAAATGAGGGCAGGTTTTTGCGTTAATTCTGTCTTTACGCAGGATGATACCTATCAAGTCTGGTAGCTGGTGCCCAAAAGACGGAGTCGAGCATGAAGTTCAGGTGGGATGCGATGGAGTTTCAGTTCCTGCAAGCTTTGCTCTATCCCTACGGTCAAGCACGTATGTTCCATTGGGTTGGGGAAGTGACTTCGAGCCAGAGCCACTTCCCATGTCCCGGCAGGAGCAAATGGCCATTGAGGCTTGCCCAGAATGGAGTTTTTGGATTGCATGCAGACAATTTCTGGCACACAGTGCTTCAGAATTCAATCGAATTCACTGGAGCAGGCGAGGAGGTATCATCTCTGCGATTGCTACGCTCTCATCCTTAATTCCCCATAAGGATGTGTTTCTAGAACACATGGTTCTCGCCTGCACTGCAAGAGGTTTTTTGTGCATCGTCCTCTAGAGGTTCATTACGAGCCTGAGCAAGTAGCTCCAAGGCCACATTTGGGGGTGCCAACTTGGGCAAAGTCACAAGCTTGCCTTGATTTCTTGATCTGTCGTGGACCCGACTTGGAGAAACATCCCCGAAGTTCCTGGCCGCCCTTACGGGCCCGATCATCGGTAATGATCAGCCGCGACGCGCGTTCTGCGCAGAGCCCTGGATGCATACAAGCTCTCGGAGTGGTATGCGGAGAAGTCCAGAAGTGAAGACAACCTTCAACAACAAGATGTAGCTGTGAGCAGTTGTTTTCTGCTTCTGCAAGCAGCCTGGCGTCAAGGTATGCTAGGCAGGTCGTCGCCACAGGAAGGTGATCGGCAGTGCCCGGCTTGACAGCATCATGCATCCTAGGCTCGCTGGCTCAGCTGCCCGCATACGATGCTGCTGCATCATTTAAGTCCATGAATTTGATCATCGGCAAAACTGCCAAGGCACCAGCTGCCCTCTCCACCACGTCCAGTGCAGAGTGGCCTACTCTATCAGAGCCTGCATGCCACCTTCACACTGCGCGTCTTGCGCGTCTGCTCTGTGTATAACAGCACGAGTCAAGCCCTCTCACAGAATGCCCAGCTGGCTTTGGGTGAAGGCTTCTCAAAGTGAATGGCCTTCGCAATATATGGAAGCATTCCAGTTGGATTAGGGTCGTGGTCTAGGGTGTAGAGGCCGCACCTTTGAGAAGATCCGAACTCGGGGGACTTGCCGATGCGATCGAGAGTACCCGACCCATTCGACCGGTGAGGAGCGGAGGGGAGGGGATGCAGAAGTGAATCGGGTTCAAAACCTCGTATGATGGGGGCGATTCATGGTGTTCAGCAGCTTTAACCGGGTCCGGTCGCTCCGGTGTGAACTCGATCGCCAAAGGATACAAGCTCTTTCTGCCGATTCTACGAGTGTGCCGAGACTTTTCGAAGAAAACTGTGAGTCCGCAGAGGCATTTTGTAGTTTAGCGCTACACAGTGATCAGACTGTAGCGACGATGCGGCTCCAAGATATTATCAGATATGTCTTGCCTGCTGTTCGTGTATGCCCATGATAACACCACATGTTGAATAACCTGAATCCGGAGACCCGGAGCCTGGCACTCATCCATCACCATCATCATACCCCTCATGACAGCAATGATAACGACACTGAGCACATGTTGACAGAGTCAGTAGCCATCTCAAGACGAACAGCGGCAACACAAGTTTGAAGAGCAGTAGCATGGCAACGCCTCTAGTACTAATGATACGAAGAAAGTAGTCGCAATACCGGGAATGAGAAGTACTTGCAGTGTTCAGCATACCAGCCGTCTTCGAACCCCAGAGGCCCTGTGGGCTCTTCGACGTGGACCCGAAAGCCAGCAGCCCAGACTCTCCTGTCTGGGGTTTAAGGGTTAGGTGGGTTGGTTTAGGGTTTAGGGTTTAGGGTAAGGCGGTCATGGGCAGCGCTTCAGGTTTAATTGTTTCTGCTTGCAGCCACGGCACTCATGGCTTCATGTTAAGCCATACGATCTTCAGCTCAAGAGTATCCCGGAGAGCTTGCTCAGTAGAGCCGGAAATCCTAGCCACAAAGCCTCAATGAAACAACATGCCGCTCAATCAACGCAGAGAAGGACCTTCATCGTCATTGTTGCCATCAGCATTATCATCACCATCATCATCATCAAATCATGCCGCGCTCCTCTGGCACGATACAGCGCTCTTCCCTGTCTTAGAACTAGGGAACTCGCGGAGGAATGATCTTTGCAGGGAGACAGAGTCGTCACTTTTGCCTGGCAAGGAGTGTTTTCTTTGTGTGCCTTCAACATGCTCTACACGCGCAGACCGACGTCCGTTTTATTAGAGATTTGTTGAACATGCCATTTTCCTTGTTTTGGAAAGCACTGAATTTATTGAAGCCGGTGCTGCAATCATGAGCGGACCATGATACGACGTGATGTGACTGGAGCATTCCTCCCTGCAACAGGAAAGGATGCGCTCAGATGGCTTAAGTGTGTTACTGCTAAAGTTGTTCATTTCGGAAATGAGGTGTGGGCCACGTCATTATGATTCTGACTTCCGCGTCAGAAAGAGCGAACTTTTGGAAGCATGCACACCAGTACTAAAGTTATTCCGCAGGGCCTTCGCTCCTCCCCATTATTCTTCTGATACACAGGAGCCCAAAACCCGACCTAACCCATGCTGCACGTTGCAGTACCCGTGCAAGTAACGAGTTCTGCCTGGAAGAACGAAGGATGTCACGAGCAGCGGGGAGTGTTTTGGCTTTACACGTTTTACTACAAGGTTATATATATATATATATACGTGTATGAGCATGTATGCAGACATATATATATATATATATCATAGATCCGTGCATACATACAGACATAACTATAACAACAAGTAGATATTTATGTTGGTGTAGATATAGAGACAGGTACAGACACAATTATAGACAGTGTACAGAGTAGAGAGTTCACGACTTAGGGCTAGGATCGAAGAGCCCTTTGTTTACATTGCCTGAATGGCTGGATGGATCTTTGGTATGGGCCCATTCGATTTATAAGAAACGTCCCTTCAAAGAAGGGACCTGTCTTTAACAAGCTTTGGCCCTGGCAATGCCTCACTGAGGCCACAGCCTTGACTTTGCGCCCACTTTACGACCGACTTCGCTTGGGCTTGAGCCCTGGTCCCTTTTGCACCCAGCCACGTGGAAGCTGGTGTGGCGGCCGGTAGGCTCGAGGGGTGGAGGATCCTCCGAAATGAGGTTCGACGATCGAGAAGAAGAGGCGAGTAGCCATGCACGTGAAGTGGATTCAAGGTATGGCGTTCGACTGTTGGATATTACTGCCTCTGTTTTACTATTTTGTTGCTTTGATTTGGCGGTTATCGGCGGTGCCTTTTCACAGTATTTGGTGCCATACCCTCGCCCAGGCAGAAGCCTCGCATAATGTAGCCTGAATTGTTAGCTGTTCCGTAGGGTTCCCTACTACAGTTATCGTATAACATACCCCAAAACCATATTCTAATCAGGAAGGCTAAAAGCCCCCTAAATCAGGCCGGTGCGACAGCGGTCAGCTTGCACTAGTGTCATCTGCGCTTCTTCAGGCTACTTGGAATCCTTATAGTCAGGCTCTTGCTATGTACTCTAGGTCACAAAATTAACAGTTAGGGTCGAGGGTTGAGAGTCCAACAGTTAGCAGAACACCCCGTAATTTTCTGAATGCCCAGGACTGGAGGAGCTTTGTCGAAAGCCAGAAGGGCACCTGCACTACAAGTTGGCCCGGGGTGCAGGCTGTCGGCCCGTTCCTGCATCCTTGGGATTGCCCTCAAACAGGCATGCTTGGCCATGGGATCGGATAAAAGTTTTGGGATGGGTCAGTTTGGGCCACGCGCTGACTCTAGGTTTTGTAATGCAAGCTGCCGCTGCTTCAGTTGCATGCACATCCACTGCAGCTGGCATCACCCGGGAGAATGGAAGACTCATCTGCCAGAATATGATGGAATGCCTTCGAAAGCTTCTTCCGAGAGTTTTGGCACAGGAAGCGTCACGTTGACATACATGCTGAGAAGATTCGCCGCGCACCCGGTAATCCAGGCCTGGAGATTGAGCTCCTCTACATGAGCTGGCACAGTCAGGATGAACTACTACAACTACAAATACAACTTCTAGATACTACTACTACTACTACTACTACTACTACTACTACTACTACTACTAACTACTACTACGAACTACTACTACTAACTACTACTAC